AGCCCCAGCTGTCCTGAAACTCACTATGTAGACTAAGCTGGCCTTGAACTCACAGAGATCCGCCAGCCTCTGCCTCCCAAGTGCTGGGATTAAAGGCATGCACCACCACACCCGGCTTATTTATTATTTTTATATTTTATGTGTATGGGTGTATTGCCTGCATGTAGGCATGTGTGCAATGCCTAAAGAGGTCAGAAAAGGCATTGGATCCCCTGGAACTGGAGTTATGGGTGGTTGTTAGCTGCCATGTGGGTGCTGGGAATCAAACCTTGGTCCTCTGCAAGAGCATCCAGTGCTGAGTCAACTCTCCAGCCCTTAGTTTTCCCTTCTCTAGAGAATACCTGTAGGAGAGATATTAGCTGTCTAGAAAGATAGTTATTCTTCCTTTCCTGTTGTCTTTCTTCTGATTCATTTCCTGGTCACCTCCTCTGTGAAGGTTGTCGCCCACAGTTTTAAATTAACTAGTCCAGGGGTTGGGGATTTAGTTCAGTGGTAGAGTGCTTGCTTAGCAAGTACAGGGCCCTGGCTCTGTCCTAAGCTCCGGGGGGCGGGGGGGGGGCAAAAAGACCAAAAAACCCCCAAGGCAATTAAATTCACTAGTGTATACCTCATCCTGACTGCTAACTAGTGTACACCTCGTTCTGACAATCATTCACTCACTGCTGCATAATAAACAGGCCCCAGATGCAAGACTTAAAACAATAGCATTTACCTTTCAGGATCTATGTGGTCCAGGAATTTGGGGGGTTGTTGCCTGGGTGGTTCTGGCATGGGCTCACTCAAGAAGTCATAGTTGGACTAGGCATGTTGGCATGCCTTTAATCTCAGTACTCTGGAAACTGGGGCAGGTGGATCTCTGTGAGTTTGAGGCCAGCTTGGCTTACATAGAGAGTTCCCTACGTAAAGACCCGTCTCAAAGAAGAAAAAAGTCAGTCACTGGGACCAGTGGTGTAGTTTGGTAGTAGAGTGCTGCCTTGCATGCGTGAAGCCCAGGGTTCTAGTCTCAGCACTGGGAACCAAAAAATCTTTTTTTTTTTTTTCAAATGTCACCTGGGGCTGAAGGCTTGTATTGGAGGTGGAGCATTCCTTTACCAAGTGACTCATTTGGAAGGTAGTATTAGTATTAACAAGAGGCCTCTGCTCCTGACTGGGTGGACCTCTCCCAGAACTGCTGATATGTCCATAACATGAGCAGTTGAAGCCATAGAGCAAGCCTTGCAGAAGCTATCCTTGTAATGGCCTAGACACAAAGTCTTACAGCATCCCTGTGTGTATCAGAAGTTAGGAAGTGCACCACCTTTTGAAGGGACAAGGAAACACCTAAAGCCTAAGCCAGGCTTCCCCCATTCATTCTTGTACCTAGGAAACATGTATTTGCTGCAGCTCCAAGATGTTCCAGGTAGTGGAACTGAGCCTTATTCCATTCTCCAGGAACTTCAGGTACAGATGGCATTCTCCGTGGTGTGAGCAGTGCTTCACAGCGGAATGACCTTTCTCATGTGGCCTCTAACCTCCCTGAATGGTTCCCAGGGCTGGTTAGAGCCCTTTGCTGGCTCCTCTGGAATTAGCCAATGGGGATTTTCTTCAGCTGTTACAACTTACATGGTTGAACTTGACTTTGAACCCAGTGATTCTGCTATAAAGCCCTTCCATTTTCTCCCCTTGCACACTCTTCCTGTGGCTACTAAGTCACCCTGTGCTTCAGATGGGAGGGCTGAGGCTGCAGCCACAGAACAGATCATGACACTTGAATTCCTTGATGTCTTTCCACCCTGTGGACCTGTCCTTCAAATACAGACACTTGAGAAATCCATTGACTGTGCTGTTTTCTTGTTTTGCAGAAAGCTCTGGGTGTGCGGCAGTACCATGTAGCCTCTGTCCTGTGCCAACGTGCCAAGGTGGCCATGAGCCACTTTGAGCCCAGTGAGTACATCCGCTATGACCTGCTGGAGAAGAACATCAACATTGTTCGAAAACGGTGAGGCGGGAGTGGGTGGTGCTGGCTAGGAGTGCTGCTGCCCTGCCCTTTCCAGAGCCTGAGGCAGGCTGGGTGAGGTGAGCTACACCAGGAATTCAGGATTCAAAGGCCCCACAGAGGAAGGAAGATCTTCTGGGTTGTGGAACTTCTGTCCTCTCTCCAAGGAGTAATTATCGAGAGGCCTGGAAGGCCATCCTGGTAGTGCATTTCTGTAATCCCAGCACGTAGAGATTTAAAAAATTTTAATTTTGTATGTATGAGTGGTTTTTGCCTGCATGTATGTGAGTGCACCTGTGTCATGCAATCCCCATGGAAGCCAGAAGAGGGTGTCAGTTTCCCTGGAACTGGAGTTCCGGGTGGTTGTTAGCTATTGTCTGGGTGCTGGGAACTGAACCTAGGTCCTCAGCAAGAGCAGCCAGTGCTCTTAATCACTGAGCCATCTTTCCAGCACCAGGAGGTAGGTTTTAAAATTACATTTATTTGTTTATTTATTTTGTGTGTGTGTGTTTGTATGGGTGCTTGTGTATCACAGAGCGCATGTAGAAATCAGACGACAATTTGCAAAAGTCAGTTCTCTCATTCTGCCCTGTGGGCCCTGGGGTTGTCAGACTTGGTAAGGGCCTTTACCTGCTGAGCCATCTTGCTGCTCCGCACCCCCCCCCCCCCCCCTTTTTTGCCCCCCCCCCCCCCCCCCCCCGTTTTTTTGTGTGTGTGTGCCAGGGTCTCGGATACCAGGCTGGCCTGGAACTCACTTTGTAGCCAAGGATGACCTACCTTATGACCTTGAACTATTTTTTTCTTTTTAAAGTATGATCTCACTACATGGCACTGCCTACCTGGAACTCACTATGTAGACCAGGCTGGCTTTGAATTCACAGAGATCTACCTGCTTCTGCCTCCTGAGTGCTGAGATTTAAAGGCCTACATCACTATGCCCAGCCTCTGGAAGGCTTGTAAATCCACCAACCCCTGTTCACCACTCCCAGAAATTTTGATTCAGGTGGTGTTGGCCTTGCTATTCGAAATGTGGCCTTTTGACATCACTTGGGAGCTGATTAGAACCAAGAATCTTAGATCCAACCCTAGTCCAACTGCGTGGGAGTCTTCTGGTCAATAGGTCCTCTAGGGATGCATGCCATCAAAATGTGGGAAGCCCTGGCCAACCTCCCAGCTGTTTCTACAGTGCAGTTAGAGCCGAGAGCCACTGTCCCCACCAGTGCAGGACCTTGTACAAATGCTTTTCTCCAGGAAGCAATGTTTTACTTATTCTTGGGGCTCTCTGACCACAGCTCAGTGGAAAATGATGGATTTTTCCCTTTTATTTGGTGAGCTTCATAGTAACTTGGCCAGGAGAGTGTGACTTACTGTTTAGTTTTTACTTTAAACAACTGGTTGCAACAGCAGAAAGAACATTTTGTGCTAGTGGGAGGTTTTTGGATTTTAACTTTATCAGTAAATTGAAAAAAAAATTCATTGCTTATTTGTTCTCAACCCTGTATTCACTAGAAAAGTCCAGTAAACTCCCTGTAGGCTCCAGGTGAATGCAGACCAGTTGGTTCTGCTCTCACTGTTGCCATAGTGCAGTGGTCCTCTGTGAGATGGGGGTGATTTTGCCCCTGGGGTCTTAGATTACACCTTAGCATTGTCTTGGGTGTCATATGCATTAAGTAAAAAATAGTTGGAGCCGGGGGCGTGGTGGTGTACACATTTAATCCCAGCACTCAGGCAGATCTCTGTGAGTTCAAGGCCAGCCTGGTCTACATAGTTCCAGGACGGCTGGGGCTACAGTGAGACCCTGTCTCAAAAAGACCAAAAAAAAAAAGTTAGTTGGGACTAGAGAGATGGCCCAGCAGTTAAGAGCACTGGCTGCTCTTGCAGAGGACCCAGGTTCAGTTCTCAGCACCCACATGGCAGCTAACAACTGTCTTTAACACCAGTTCCAGGGGATCCAACACCCTCTTCTGGCCTCTGTGGGTACTGCACAGCATGGGTGTGCTTATTTACATGCAGGCAATACCCTTATACACATATAAAATACAAATAATAAAATAATAAAGTTATGTTTTATTTTTTTATTTTGTATGTGCATGTGTTCATTTCACTCATCAAGTTCAGGTTGTCAGGCTTGGTGGCAAGCGCCTTTACCCACTGCGACATTCCTCTGGCCCCTTGTCAGGCTTTATATATTTTTTTATATATGTATATATAATATACATATTATATATATATTTTAAAAATATGTATATCACTTCTTTCAAGATCTTGGTGCTATTTTTCAGCTCTCTTGGGCCCAGAGAGCAAGGCTGTTCCACAGAGTGAGTCATTGCCACCCAGCAGCCTGGGAGGTGCTGCTGCAAATCAGCGGGCAGGCCCTGTGCCCCAGGCTCCTCTTTTTATGGGGGACTGTCAGGACGCAGATCTAGAGATTCTTCGAACTGCCTGTTACTCAGCTGCAGACCCAGAACCTTAGAGAAGAGCTCTTGGTTCCAGGACTTAGGGGACTATGGGTGAGGAGCAGGGACCCAGGCAGGATTGAGGAGAGGGGCAGGCCAGAGTCACAACACTCTTGCCCGGCTACCTTCTTCCTTCTGCCCACAGATTGAACCGGCCTCTAACTCTCTCAGAGAAGATTGTGTATGGACACCTGGATGACCCAGCCAACCAGGAGATTGAACGGGGCAAGACATACTTGCGTCTACGGCCTGACCGAGTGGCTATGCAGGATGCCACAGCGCAGATGGCCATGCTGCAGTTCATTAGCAGTGGGCTGCCCAAGGTGGCTGTGCCATCAACCATCCACTGTGACCATCTGATTGAGGCCCAGGTTGGGGGTGAGAAAGACCTCCGCCGGGCCAAGGTGAGCCCAAGGTGGTGAGGGGGTCATGTGGGTGGGTGTGATATAGGGGTGAGAGAGGTTCTACTTCATGATGTGGCCATCTGGACCATTGCCTTCAAATTTCTATGAATTGCTTGATTTAGTCTTTTTTCTGTGGTACAAGGGTCTGAGGCTAGAGCCCAGGGCCTCATATATACCTGGCAAATGCTCTACCACTGAGCCATATCCCAGCTGTGAGGTTTAGCCTATTTTTAAAAAATATTTTATTTATTATTTTTATTTTATGTGTATGCATGTGCATGTAGGTGCTCTGGATCACAGTGCAGCTCCTGAGCCTGCCTGTGTCCCTGGCCAGTGGGTCTCAATAAAGCAGCTAAGTTTTCTTGAGTCTCAGTGTCTGAGCCCGCAGAGGACAGAAGAGGCTGTTGGATCCCCTGGAACTGGAGTTACAGACAGTTGTTAGCTGCCATGTGGGTGCTGGGATATGAACCCGGGTCTTCTGCAAGAACAACCAGTGTTCTTAACCACTAAGCCATCTCTCCAGCCCTAGCCTATTTTTAAAACATGTTTTTTAGCCAGGCATTGTGGCCCACGCCATTAATCCCAGCACTTGGGAGGCAGAGGCATGCGGATCTCTGTTTGTTCAGGCCAGCCTGGTCTACAAAGCAAGTTCCAGGCCAGCTGGGACTATAGGGAGACCCTGTCTCAAAAACAAAAACAAAAATACCCCAAAACATGTTTTTTAGCTGGGCATGGTAGTGCACACTTGGGAGGCAGAGGCAGGTAGATTTCTGTGAGATGGAGGCCAGTCTCTTCAGGCCAGATATGACTATGGCTGCAGTGAGGCCCTATCTCAGAAAACAAGTAACACAAAATGTTTCTTTTACCTTTTTCTAATACTGGAAATACTGTCTGGCCACTGTGAAGGTGTTAGAAAATACAGAGCAAGGCTAAAGAATAAAAGCAGTTGTCCTCAGCCTAGGCGAAAGAGGCTCCTCTGCTGTCCCATAGGAAAGTGCTATAGACCCAGGATCTGGCGCACGCCGCTGATGCCCTGGCGTCAGAGTTCTTTCTGCCTGAGTAGCCCATCTCCATATATCTTTCTCCATATCACATGTGCCCTCTCCTACTCTGGTTGACCTCTGAGGATCTGCCAGGGAAAAGGGGTGGTGGTCCCTGTGTGTAACACACCACGTAATTGAGTCGCACAACCACAGGAGTGCATGCCTACAGCTAGAGCTGATCTAGTCTACTCTAAAGCTGTGATACTGACATCTCCTTTGGGTCCCTTTCTTTTTCTGTGAGGTTTGCTTAACTAGACTAAAATGGCTGTGTACCACTGAAACTGCCACTGCTGCTGACTTCCCCAATTTGCTACAAAGTCTAATCCCTGCTCCTCCCATGCCTCAGGCTTGTGATACCTCTGTGTGTGCCACTTAGACCTGACCTTCTCCCTCCAAGCACAGTGCTTCCCTGTTTTCCACCTCGAGCAGTGGGAGTGAGTACTCCTTGGGGGCATTGGCAAGAGCTGAATGCTGGCAGACCTACAGCCCGACTGGCACAGAGCAGAGCATGTGATTAAAAGTGCTCTGGCTCCCAGGGTCAGCCTCTCAGATTCCTGAGAAACACTCAGGGATGGACGCCTTCTCATTCTGGCCTTTCCTCTCCATACTTACCCACCCATGGAGTTCTGGGTGTATAGTGGCCCTTTCTACTCAGCTGAAATCCTGCCTGTTGGCTGGCAGCTTCCATGTTTGCAGCAAAGGGGTAGTTATGTTACATGCCTTTGCAGGGCCAGGAGCTATAGAGACCAGGAGCCTAGGGCCTCTTCTGCCCTGGGGACAACTGCCTACAGCAGGGACACCATCTTCCCTTGCTTTACAAGTTAGAATCTACCTACTAGAGATAGGATTCACAGAGTCACAGATCTTCTTTGAAGTCAGAATGGGACTGTAAGCTGAGACTTAAACAGATGATTAGAGAACATTCTAGACAGAATAGCAAAGGCCTGGTATATGTGTGTACTCTTAGCACCTGGGATGTGGAGACAGAATCAGGATTTCAAAGTCATCGTCAGCTATATAGCAAGTTTGAGGCCAGCCTGGGTTATGTGAGCCCCTGAGCTTGTCTTTTCACACCCCACCTCCCCTCAAAAGCATATACAAAGGCCCCAAGCAGGAAGAAACTTGAATCACTTGTGAAATGAAGAGGGGGCACGAAGGCCTGAGGTCTGTGGGAAGACAGGGTGGTATGAGGGAGGCAGGGGCAGGCCAGGTCTGAGGACTGTGGGAAGGCTATTTCCATCATATAGGAGTTATGGAAGGACCTGTTGTAGTCTGTTTTCTGCTGCTGTGCAGGACATTGCAGATGAGAGAAACAATACACTAGTTTATTTGGCTCAGTTCAGGGGCTAAAAAGTTCAGGGCATCTGGCAAATGCCTTTGTGCTACATATAGGGCAGGAGGGCAAGTGTACATGAGTGAGAAAGAAAATCGGTGGAACTTCGACCTTTTACTGGACACAAACTGCCAGGATAACCATCCCATTCCCTGGACAACAGCATTCATGCATTCATGAGGGCAGAACCTCTGCAAGGTCCTACTGTTACTGTGACACAGTTCAACTTGAGTGGGACATTCAGGTTTAAGAAGAGGAGGGATACGTTCAGGTCTGCATGTTGTTGTAAGAGTCTCTGGCTAGGGCCCAGAGACACAGAGTGATCTATCTATAGTCAGAGAATGTTTCAGGCTGTTTGAGACTGGCATTAGTTTGTGGTAGATGGGAGGGACCCCCACTTCCATAGACATGCATATGCACCCAGTCTCCTACCCTGGATCCCAGTTTCATGACTAACTGATTTGTAAAGGATAAACCCAGTTGTTAATTATTAATTTGAAAGAGATTGTCCTGGGGACACAAGTTATTTGTCTGTCATTCTTTTACCTGGGTTCAAATGGGCCTCAGAAGGACACACTGGCTGATGGGAGTTTAAATGAAGGGGTTTTCAGAGTCTTTTTTTGTCTCTTTGAGACACGGTCTCTCTGTAGCCCCAGCTGGCCTGGAACTCGCTCTGTAGACCAGGCTAGCCTTGATCTTACAGAGATCCACCTGCCTCTGCCACCCAAGTGCTGGGACTAAAGGCGTGTGCCACCACTCCCGGCACTAGTGTATTTCTTGAGTCTGTGGAGCAGACACACATCCATTCTCTGCCAAGAAACACAACTGTGCCTGAGAATGGCAGGTCTCATTTCCTAGTTCCTCCTTTGTGGCACTGGAATCTACCCTGGTGTCCCTTTTGTCACTAGTCAGTCTCACTTGTTCAGGGACATGCCATTCTTCAGATAAAGCCTAGCCTCACATACCCCAGGAAGCTGCCTTCAAATGACAGGCTGAATGGGAAGAGCTAATCCTGTCTTTTTCAGAGTGGTAGCCCAGTTGGCAGCCTTTTATTTGGGGGCCCACTGAACATACTGCCAAATACTGAGCACCTACAATGTGCTGACACTGGTTAGGTGATCTCAGGTGGAGTCTAACACCATCTCAGAGGCAGCAGCTTTGGTTTGTCAGATTATAGCTCTCCAGTTCTGTGGTTGGACAGGCCTCCCCCAAGCCTCCAATCTTGGATCTATAAAAATAGATTCAACGCAGTCTCATTCCACTTCCCAAGTGTGATGTGAGGCTGTTTAGCATAGTGCCTTTTCCATGGCTGCATTCAGTAAGTGTCAGCTGAGATAACAAGGCTCAATGGAGAAACAACAACCTCAGAACCACAGTAAGATCAGGATGTCCACTTGGTCTCCTTCTTGCCTTTGATGGTCTCCCTCGCTCTTGGTGCCCGTCCTGTTCAGTGCTGCCATGCATGGCATGCCCCTTCACACCTTGGCTGGAGACTTGTGTGCCAGAAGAATCTCTGTTAGTTATTTAGCCCAGTTCCTTCTATAAGGAAACTGAGGCACAGAGCAGGGCAGGGACTTGTCCCAGATCTACCGCCTGGCCGGGTGTCATGGAACTGGAGCTGTTTCTGCTCCCTGTCTTCCTCTCTGGGTCTGCCAGCTGAAACTTTGGCCCAATAGCAAGGCCCTTCTGGAATTATTTTTAGAAGCTCTGTAAGATAGGACCTGTCTTCGTGGTGGCAGCATTCCAGCACCATGGGGGAGGGAGTGGTGAGGGAAGCATGAAGGGTCACCCCGATCAAACTGTGATACTAATGCTGTGGTTATTGGCTTATTTTATAGGATATAAATCAGGAAGTGTATAATTTCCTGGCAACTGCAGGTGCCAAGTATGGTGTGGGCTTCTGGAGGCCCGGATCTGGAATCATTCACCAGGTAAAGTAACACTCAGCTTGCCTTTGCAACGGCCCTGAGTCCAGGCTGCACTCAGGTAACCAGACAGCATGTTCCAGGCCTGCAGAGGAATAGAGGTGTTTGAGAACATGCCGTGAGGAAAGTATAGAAGTTAGATGTGGTGCACACTTGTAATCCCAGTGGTATTTTTTATGTAGTGTGGGGATCCAGGATCTATTGCTGAGTTATACTCACTGATGGGCTATTTTTATGTTGTTTTTCCCACAAGTTGCATAGATGGTTGATATTTGATAGGTATGCTATGTGTCAGGTGCTAGAACTGGTGCTTTGAAAATATTAACTCCCTGGGCTGGTGAAATAGCTCAGTGGTAGAGCATTTGCCCAGCATACATAAAGTCTTGGGTTCAATTGCAGGCACTACAAAAACTAATTGAAATATTAACTCATGGCCTGCAAGATGGTTCACTTGCTGTCAAGCCAGACCACCTGAGTTCAGGCCCCAGGACCCACATGATGGAAGGAGAGAACCAACTTCTGCCATGTTGTCCTCTGACCTCTGTATGCATAATGTGGCACAAGTGCATGTGTACATGCACATACACACACAATAAATATAACAAGGTTTTTTTTTTGTCTTTTTGAGACAAGGTCTCCCTATAGCTCCAGCTGTCCTGGAACTCACTATGTAGACCAGGATGGCCTTGAACTCACAGAGATCCACCTGCCTCTGCCTCCCGACTGCAGGTTCGAATCCCAGCACCCACATGGCAGCTAACAACTGTCTGTAACTCCAGTTCCAGGGAATCTGACAGCCTCTTCTGTCCTCCTTGGGCATTGTACAACACGGGTGCACTTACCCATTTATTTATTAGCCAGGCGTGGTGGTGCACACCTTTAATCCCAGCACTCGGGGAGGTAGAGACAGGCGGATCTCTGTGAGTTGGAGGCCAGCCTGGTCTACATAGGGAGTTCCAGGAGAGCTGGGGCTGCAGGGAGACCCTGTCTCAAAAAGACCAAAAAAAAAAAAACCAAAAACAAAAAAAGATACTAACTCAGTAATAAGCTGAGTGTGATGGTCACACAGTTTCAGCAGTTGGAAAATAGAGGCAGGAGGATTGCTGTGAGTTCCAGGCCAGCCTGGGCTACAAAGCAAGACCCTGTCAAGAAAAAAAAAAACAAAGCTGGGCATGGTAGCAAATGCCTTTAATCTCAGCACTTGGGAGGCAGAAGAAGGTGGATCTCTGTGAGTTAAATTTTTAATTAAAGATAATAAAGATGTTAACTTACTAGTATTTGTCATCACCCTATCACATAGGTTTTAATATAACATGCCTTACAAATGAGGAAACTGCTCTGGAAAGATAAATATCCTTCCCCAGCAACAGCTTCCTGGCTAATTGTAGAGCAGGGATCTGGCCCTGAGGGAGTACCCTGAACCACTATGGTGCTCTGCCACCTCAGTCACCAGAGAGTCCTTCCCATCCTGCCCAGAGCACTGCTCAGTTCTTTTACCCATGGTAGTCTGTAGGATGGAAGTCCTGAAAATCACAGGCCATGTAAGCCAGGCGCTTCCCCAGAGTCTCTGATGGAGTTTAGTGTGGTGGACAGTTTTGTCTCCAAAGCCATGTGTGGTGGGACACACCTATAATCCCAGAACTCAGTAGGCTGAAGCAGGAGGTTGCTATGAGTTTGTGGTCCACCTGGGCTACACAAGTGAGTTTCAACCAGCTTGAGATACAGTATGAGCCCCTCTCTAAAAAACAAAAACCAACTCTGCAAGCTCCCCCTTCCCTCTGTGTGTGTCTTCAGGGAGGTTAGGTGTTTTTCTTCCGTCAAAGGGACTGCCGGGGACACAGCCTGGTGTATGTTCATCAGTATTCATCCTTTATGTATGAAACCTGCTCTGCATTTCCAAGGTGACTCTTCTCCCCACCGCCATTCAGGCCTTGATGCCTGCTTCTTTGCAGAGATGCTGACTCAGGTTGTCATCTGACCCTGCCTGGGCTCCTGGCTCCCAGCTCTGTGACTAGAGCCAATAATGGATCACTGCATTGCCCTTTCACACTGTGCCTTTACTAGAACAGGGCTGCCAGGTTGGAAGGTCACACAGCCTGCAAGAGCCAGAGAGCCTCTCTGCAGTAGGGTACAAAGACACAGGGACCCAGCCCATACCTTTTGTTATAGAGGGCACCCCAAGCCAGCAGTCTCTCATTCCACTTCAGTACAAAGGCCCAGACCTCTTTGGTAGCTCTTAGGCCAAACTTTGGGGCTGTGGTGGCTGCTCACACTTGCCCTTAGCCATCTACTAAGCATTCAGTATGTTAGTGAAAAAGAACATTCTGGGGCTGGAGAAATAGCTCAGCATTAAGAATACTGGGTGTGGGGCTAGAGAGATGGCTCAGTGGTTAAGAGCACTGACTGGTCTTACAGAGGACCTGGGTTTGATTCCCAGCACCCACATGGCGGCTACGAACCATCCTTAACTCCAGTTCCAGGGGACTCTGAAGCCCTCTTCCAACCTCTGTGGCATTGCACTACACAGGTGCACTCACATACATGCAGGCAATACACTCATACACATAAAATAAAAATAATAAAATATTTAAAAAAGAAAAAACACTGGATGTTCGGGTTTGATTCCCAGCACCCACATAACAGCTAACAACTGTCTATAATTCCAGTTTCAGAGGATCCGACACCCTCTTCTCACCTCCTTGAGCCCAACACGAATGCACTTACATGCAGGCAATATGCTCATACACAGAAAATAAAAAATAAATGAATAAAATTGCTTTCCTTTAATCCCAGCACTTGGCAGAGGCAGGCAGATCTTTGTGAGTTTGAGGCCAGCCTGGTCTACATAGCGAGTTCCAGGACAGCTGGGGCTACAGGGAGACCATGTCTCAAAAAGAAAATAAAAGAATATTCCCAGAGACCGTATGTACACTGTGTAACTTTTCTATCCATCAGTGTCAGGCTGTCAGCAGCTTTCAGTTTCTTTCTTCCAAACTGAACCCCAGATTTCGTCCCTTCGTCTGGCAGATCCTGTTCTGCATCTTAGCTTTCTAGCTACCTATTTAGCCCCTGGCTTCCCTGCACCCTGCATCCAGACTCTTCTTGTGATTCTTTGTGGCCTTTGAATTATGTCCCAGCATATGCCCAGGACTTTCTTTGCTGTGTCATGTGTACTCTAGACACAGGCTCTGGCTGCTTATATTCCTTTTTGGCTTTGAAGCTGGGACCAGGTGAATGCAAAATTGGTCCATAGTGTTTGTGTGGTGTACATAGATGATTGAATTTCTAGTGTTACATTCTAGATGTTAGTCCAGCCTAAAACACACTGCTCTGCTGGGTATGGTAGCACATGTCTGTAATTCTAGCACTTGGGAGACTGAGTCAAGAGGATCACAAGTTCAGGACCAGCCTGGGCTACATAGCAGGACCATCTCAAAAACAAAAAGTATACACTTCTTTTTGACCTTCACCCCATCTGCCCACTTATATCTGTAATCTGGTGAGGTCACTGTCATAGCCAGTTTGTTGTGATGCTGGACACTGCCTACCCTGGAGAGTTTACCACATGAGGCTAAGATAGTGCTATGAGTCCTCCAGTCTACATCAACCTCTCTCATGCATGTGGACTACATGTATGTCTATACCATGTTCACTACCCTGAATACCATGTGTCACCCCTTTAGGACTCCAACATTTACAGTATTGGGGAGTTTCAGGGATTAACTAGTCTCAAATCTTTGCGTATGGCTGATACAAGGAAAGGGCAGAGAGATGACAAAGTTTAGCAGTGTTGGCCATTCTCCTCTAGCTGCCTCATTCTGGAGGAAAATGTAGGTCTCCCAACCTTTTCCATGGCCCTATGTGCCATGCTAAGTCCATGGGCAGAGATCTGGGTTTCTGTGATACTCCAGGGAACCTGCTCACAATCAGTGCTGATGGTTCGTAGAGCCTTTCACATCTCTAATCTCCTTTGGTCTTCCTAGTATCCGTTGAGTGACCTAATTTTATCACATAATGAGCAGTGAACCTCAGATGAGGATCTTGCTGAAAAGTAATAACATACTGCCTCTCCCTTAGACATCATAGAGCTCTACTGAGGTGGCACTGTTGCCAGATGTTTTTATAGAATAGGAAGCAGAGGTTTTGAGAGGTTAAATGCCTTGCCCAAGACCTCACAACTACTAGTAGTTGATGGGGCCAGAATTTAGGCCCAGGGTAGGCTGGACACTTAGCCTAGCTAGAGGGACTTTTCCAAGTGTCCTGTATCTTAGAGGGGCCTGGACAGTGGCCTGGACCTCTACTGCCTTCTCACCCAATATTTTGTGAGAACACTCTTCAGGCTTTCCTAACTTGGAAGAGCTTTGATGAAGGCAGCCCTGACAAGCAGGACAGGTGATGAGCAAGTTGCTTCAGTTATCAGAGCCACTCCAGGGTACGAAGGCTTGAGAGGCACCCTTGTATTTCTCAGACAGTGGATAAGCTTGTGGCTTTGTGTGTTCACTGCATCCCAGTACCTCTTCCCCTTAGATGCCCGGTTGTTTTTGTCTTTTGAGTTAGGGTCTCCTGTAGCCCCAGCTGGCCTGGAACTCAATATGTAGACCAGGCTGGCCTCGGTTTCACAGATCTCCCTGCCTTTGTCTCCTGAGTCCTGGGATTAAAGGTGTGTGCCATTATGGCACAGGACACACACTTAAATGCCAGTATATCTGGTTCTTCATCCTGGGATTAATATGTCTGGTTGTTTTTATTATTATACTATGAATGAGGAAACTAAGGCATAGGGAGGCATCTACAGGCCCAAGTCACAGCAGGAACTGTCAGAGTTACTCCTGAGCCCAGGTTGCCACACAGGAGTAGACTGTATTAAATGAAACTACCTCTACCTGCCGCATACTTGAGGGATACCTGGGCATGGCTGCGTGTCCCGGTATCAGTGGGGGCAGTTCTTTGGACCTTTTTTGTGTTCTACCTCCACTGTGCTGAGATCTTGATTTCTTTCAGATCATCCTGGAGAATTATGCATACCCTGGAGTTCTTCTGATTGGCACTGACTCCCACACCCCCAATGGTGGTGGCCTGGGAGGCATCTGCATTGGAGTTGGGGGTGCTGATGCAGTGGACGTCATGGCTGGGATCCCCTGGGAGCTGAAGTGTCCTAAGGTGAGGGGTAGGGAAAGGCTTATTCTGGGCTGGCTAGTAGGGATGAGAGGGAGACTGTGAATTCAAAAGAGTTGAGGTCTGGCTCAAATCTCTTGTGGGAAGGCAAGGATGGAGAAGGGAAGCAGGAATGCCTGCAGCTCAAGTCCTTGACTCCTGGCTGGAACTTGGCTTACAGTGCACGGAGCCTGTAACTGTCTCTCCTGCCTTTTCAGGTGATTGGTGTGAAGCTGACGGGCTCCCTCTCTGGTTGGACCTCACCCAAAGATGTGATCCTGAAAGTGGCAGGCATTCTCACAGTGAAAGGTGGCACGGGTGCTATTGTGGAGTACCACGGGCCTGGTGTAGACTCCATCTCCTGTACCGGTGAGGAGGGTGGCCCCATGCAGTGGCTTTCACCCTGGGCTGGGTCTGATGGGCCTGCAGCAGAACCAGCAAGTAGCCTTTGCTTGAGGCTGTCCAGGCAGTATGGGATGGGAATAGTCAAGTAGAGGTGGGGGGCTGGTTGGAGAAAACCTTAGGAGTTGTCTAGGTCCCTTGCTGATCCAGTGGAACAACCTAAAACCTCCTTAGGGAAGCAGTAACTTCTGTGGCCACTCTGAGTTGGAAGCCACAACAGCGGTAGTTTCTGCCCCTCTGCAGTAGCCCCCAGAACTATTGTCCCCCTCAAGTAATAAGGGCTCACCTTTACCACCATGGCACAGCTCATCCACGAAGTCGATAGCGGGTCCTGGTAGAAGCCACGGCACCTGTGAGTCACGCCAGGGCTACAGGATGCTCTGGTCCAGACAGCAGATGCCAGTCCATGCTCTTCTTGAGATGGAATCTCACCATGTTGCCCAGGTGGTCCTTAAACGCCTGGGCTCCAGCAGTCCTCATGCCTCCACCTCCCAGGTGCTGGGACTGCAAGCATGTGCTGTCTACCCAATGTATTTCCACTCTCATATTGAAACTCCAAAAAAATATTCACATAGCTCCATGGTGTGACTAGAAGAGGCAGGATGCCAGGCAGACAGACCTAGACTTGAGCGTCAGTGTCTGTTTGTTTATGCATGAAATTTGTTTTTATTTGTTTGGGTTTTGTTTTTTTTTTTTTTTTCTGGTCTTTTTGAGACCAGGTTGGCCTTGAACTCAGAGATCCCCTGCCTCTGCCTCCCAAGTGCTGGGACTACAGGCATGTGCCACCATGCCTGGCTTGTTTATGCATGATCTTGAGCAAGTTCCTTCCCCTGCAAAGCTGACAGTAACTGCTGGGGAGTGGCTGTCTGCTCTGCTGGGCAAGAAAGCCAAACCTTGAGCCAGCACTCAGATGTGGAGCCTGAATCCTGCAGCCTTTCTTCACTGGCCTTGTTTTTCAGCCTGGGCTTTGATGAATGAGAGCTTGTGGCCTTGTGAGCTAGGAAAGAAGTAATATAGGTCCTGGTATGAAGAGGTGTGTGTCCACTTGGCAGGTGCCAGAGCTCACGCCTAGCTGCCCAGCAGCCCCATGGGCTCTGTTTCTCCACAGGCATGGCAACGATCTGCAACATGGGTGCAGAAATTGGGGCTACCACATCAGTGTTCCCCTTCAACCACAGGATGAAGAAGTACCTGAGTAAGACAGGCCGTGCAGGTAAGTGGGCAGGACTGAGAGCAGTGTGGATAGTAGTGCTGGGCTCCTTTCCTGTGAGGGCAGGAGTCCTCAGCCTGGTATTCCCAGTTTGGAGGCCATGCCCCAGCCCTCACTGTATCCCTCACTGACCTGGCACCCTAGGCAGAGGACAAGCTAGATGTGTGTGGCTGCTTGAGACCATGGTGTCTGCTGTTCTTTCCCTCAAGTTTAATATTCATGCCACAGGATAGGAATTCAGTTTCAGGTGAAAAGGTAGCTAGCTACATTCTGGTCCTTTCTGGCCTAGTCCCCAGTGCCCCCTCAGGAAGTTCTGAAATGATAAGGCTGTCTTCTGCATAACTGCTACCTAACAGGAGGAAAGCTCTGGTCAAGAACCAGCCTTCCCAGCAACTTCCGAGCTTCCAGTTTGGTTTCTTTAAAGCTCACAGGAGGAAATGAAGGCTGGAGCTCGGAAAGAGAGAGGACAGTGAGGGTGAGTGGGTAGAGACTAGAAGCTAAGGGCCCTGGGGGAACGTGGAGCATCCTTCACTCTTTCTTTAGCCAATGACTTCAAAATTCTGCTTTGCAAGCAGGGCACAGTGGCACATGCCTGTAATCCCAGCACTGTAGCTGAAGGGTTGCTACTAGTTGAGGCCAGCCTAGAATACACAGACCCTGTTCCTGCTGTAAACCTCAGTGTTTCTCCTCTGTGCCCCATGTTCTCTATGTCTCTCATGGTGTCTTATCCTTGGTTCACTGCCAGCCTCTTTAGGAGGCTGAGCTCCTGGTGGGTAGGGACAGTGTCCTGTGCTGTTGGATTTCTGTTAGCTTAGTCGGTGCCTGGAGCTTCGTGTTTGCAGGTGGCAGGTAACTGGTTCAGGACCATAAACAAAATCTCAAAGATAATTTCTCCTTTGTTGATTCTAGACATTGCCAGTCTAGCTGAAGAATTCAAAGATCACTTGGTGCCTGACCCTGGCTGCCAATATGACCAAGTGATTGAAATTAACCTCAATGAGGTAAGGGAGTAGGTACTGGGGATTGCTGAAGGTGGGACTTGAAATTTTTGCCCTGGAATTTGGGAGAGGGGGTCCCACCAGCACATGCGGCAGGGTTCGTGGCCCTTGGTTCCTAGACCTAAATCAGGCAGAAATGAGGCAGAGGCATGAGAGCAAGGCTGACATTTCTTTTAGCACACCCCCCCAACTCTCGTGGAGGCCCAGGGATTTTGCCCTGGGGGCTCACCTTGTTGTGAGTTCGGGGGGCAAGGTTGTGGTAGGTTTGGCACCCTAAGATCTGCAGACCAAAGCAGACAACACTCAGAGAGCCAGAGGAAAGAATCCAGGCTGTGTGAGGTTCAATGCCAGTCCTGGCTCTGTGGCTCTGGGCAGGCTGGTCAGCCTGTGGGTCTCACTTTCCCATGTGGGAAACCTGAGGCAGGTGTGAGACTTAAGTAGGGCTTAGTCACATGTCAGTCACGCAGATTTCTGCACGCCAGGCACAATGCTCTGCCCTTCACATTTATTAGTTCGTTTTCCTTCATGAAAGAAGGCCACAGTCTGTGTTTGTCAGATGATTCCAACAGTAACATTTTTGGTCCAACTCAATCCCTACATACTATGGTTTGGATTTAGGGCCTCTCAAATTCGAGGGAAGCACTCTACCTTTTAACTCTATCCCCATCCCTCCTCTTTTTGAGACAGGGTCTCACCAAGTTGCTCAGGCTGGCCTTGAACTTACTCTATAGTCCGGATAGGCTTTAAATTTTGCCTCAGCCTCCCGAGTAGCTGGGATTCCAGACCTACACCACTTACCCAAAAGCAGTGTAGTTTGGGAGATGATGGACTTGTGAGGTAGATGGCCCTGATTCTTTCTATGCCAGGGTCATCTTCTAGTTATGTGACTTGGGGTGGGGCTTATCACTTCTAAGCTTTAGCTCCTGTGTGTACGGAATGGAGATAAGGCCAGCCTGGTACTGCTGGGGCATTCTGGGTGCTGTGTGACCTGTACCTACTGCCCACTGCCTCCTTTGGCAAAGTTCGAGTCATGAGAACAGGCGCCAACACCCTCTGTAGAGACCTGGGGGCCTGTGACCCAAGTCCATCTTCATTTCAAGACTGGTTTCCACCTCTCTCTGCTCCTTGCCCCTTATCTCTTCAGCTGAAGCCTCACATCAATGGGCCCTTTACCCCTGACTTGGCTCACCCTGTGGCAGAAGTGGGCACTGTGGCAGAGAAGGAAGGCTGGCCTCTGGATATCCGCGTTGGTGAGTGCCTTCCATCTGGTCAGGTAATAGATGCCTAGGATGGCAACTCTGCTCTGGGCTGTGAACAGTCACCTCTGCATATGATGCAGTACTTCCTGAAGCAGGCATTGTCTGCAGTAGGTCTGTGATTACCCAAAAAAAAAAAAAATGTATCTTTGCTTGGTATAAAAAGAATACATGCTCACTGTAGAGAATAGTCACAAGACTTTCAAAAACACCTCTAACTGTGACTCTTAGCCAGAAACAAGTTCTTTGAACTGTACTGTGGTGCTCTGTATGTGAACATTTATTTATTTATTTAGAGTCAGGGTCTTTTCACTACTTAGCCCTGTCTGGCCTGGAACTTCCTATGAAGGCTGGTCTCAATCTCACAGAGGTCCTCTTGCCTCTGCCTCTTGAATGCTGGGATTAAAGGTGTGTACCACCATGCTCTACTTGTGAACCAGGAACAGTTTCATGTAAGCATACTTTTTTTTTTTGGTCTTTTTGAGACAGGGTCTCCCATTATAAACTAAAAAGGCCTCCCTCCTTGGTTTTATTTTTCAGATTGTTTTGTGTTTAGAGTAAGACAGGCTCTTACTATAAAGACCAGGCTAGCCTGGAACTCACTATGTAGACCAGGCTGACCTTGAACTCACAACAATCTGCCTGCCTCTGCCTCCCGAGTGCTGGGATTAAAGGCATGTGCCACCAAGCCCATCTAAGCATACATTTAAAAAAAAAATATTTTATTTATTATTTTCATTTTATGTGTATGAGTGTATTGCCTGCATATATGTGAGTACACCCGTGTGATGCAATGCCGTGGAGATCAGAAGGCTTCGGATTCCCCTGGAACTGGAGTTAAGGACGGTTTGTAGCTGCTAAGTGGGTACTGGGAATTGAACCTGGTCCTCTGCAAAAGCAGTAAGTGCTCTTTACCACTAAACCATCTCTCCAGCCCCCATATATATTTTTCAAATTTTCAAACGCAAATCATAGCAACCATGCTGCCTTGTTTTACACACTTTATGCGTGCTTATTCACTGGCATGCTGGAGTCCCTGGCACCGGCCATTGTCTAGAGGTAGCACAACTTGGTTGTGCAGAGCCTGCAACCTGGAGTCACTAGTTCAAATCCTGGCTCTTCCTGTCTGTTTCCTCTGCCTCATTCCCCACCTGTAAGTCAGGAATGATTGTCACCCTTCAAAGTTGTCTGTCTGAAAGAGTGAGAAGAGCTTTCTATAGTGCCTGACATTAGTAATGTTCTATAAAGAGCTCATTCTTGGGGCTGGAGAGATGGTTCAGCAGTTAAGAGCACTGGCTGCTCTTGCAGAGGACTGGGTTCTATTCCCAGCACCTACATGGCAGCTAACAACCATCCTTAACTCATTAGCTCATTCTTAACTCCTTAGCTCATTCTTTGGGCTGGAGAGATGGCTCAGCAGTTAAGAACACTGACTGTTCTTGCACAAGGCCCGGGTTTGAATCCCAGCACCCACCTGGCAGCTAACAACTGTCCATAACTCCAGTTCCAGGGAATCCAACAGCCTCTTCTGGTCCTCCGCGGGCATTGCACGACATGGGTGCACTTACCTACATGCAGGCAATACACACATACACACAAAATAAAATTAATGAATTAAATATTAAAAAATAAAACGAATTAATAAAATTTGTAATAAATGAATAAAATATTTTAAAAAGATCTCTGGGTATAAAGCAATAAAGAAAAGAGATTAGGTCCTTCAGCATGTCTTAAAACAATAATTAAAAACAATCTCTTGTCCCTGATCAGTTGGTGAACTCTGTACCAGGTCAGGATAGTTGGAAGTCAGGTAGATACAATCTCCTCCTGACCTGACTCCACCACCTACAACACACCAGGTTTGATTGGCAGCTGCACCAATTCAAGCTACGAGGACATGGGGCGATCAGCAGCTGTGGCCAAGCAGGCACTGGCCCATGGACTCAAGTGCAAGTCCCAGTTCACCATCACACCAGGCTCTGAGCAGATCCGTGCCACCATTGAGCGGGATGGCTATGTGAGTGTCACCTGTCCCTGGCTTCCTACCTCACTGCTAATGTGCTTCAGGATGGGACAGGCCATAGCCTGTTGGGCCAAGGCAGTGCAGGAACAGCTGTTGTTCCTCCAGGCTGCTGCCTTACCCTTTCCCATCAGCTCTGTGCCCACCTGCCACTTCTTTCTCCCCTGCAGGCACAGATCCTGAGGGATGTGGGCGGCATTGTCTTGGCCAATGCCTGTGGCCCTTGTATTGGCCAATGGGACAGGTGAGCAGTACATCTCTCAGCCATTAGCCTCTTTGTCTTGGGACATAGAGCTCTGGGAATAAGGGGAGATGTGACTGGGGTGGAAGGAAGACTACACGAAGGCCTGAGGCCCTGGGGGCTGCATATTAGAAGCCCTAGCCAAGCGTGGCTAGACAGTCAAGCAGGGAGGAAAAGTACCCTATTGAGACCCTGAGTGATCAGAAGGTGAAGTCCTGGCCGGCATCCTGTGGTGCAGTGCAGCACACTGGTGTTTCTGAGGGAGCCCTGTACAGGCAGGCAGCTGCTCAGGCCAGGAGACTCAGGTGGCAGTCTGGGCTCTGCCTGTCTTCTGGGTGATCTCAAGTGAGGCCCAGTGACCTGCACCATGTGCTTGAGTACCAGGGAGAAGGTAGCCTTTTCAGGGCCTTCCCATCCCCCTGCCCTGTCAGGAGCTTGTACCACAGGAACCTAGCCCACCTGGCCTCAGGTCATGTGGCAGGCCAGGCCCAATATTCTTAATCCTGTCCCCTCTGTTTTGTCAGGAAAGACATCAAGAAGGGGGAGAAGAACACAATCATCACCTCCTACAACAGGAACTTCACAGGCCGCAATGACGCAAATCCTGAGACCCATGCCTTTGTCACATCCCCAGAGGTGAGACTGCCTGGCCAGGCATTAGCCTGAGACTACCTTGGGGCCTGCTCCTGGTGGGTCAGAGGTAGTCAGGGGGAGATGGGCTGCTTAGGGTTGGTGTCAAAGTCCTGAAAGTATATAAAAGAAAAAAATGAGCCTCTCCTGTCAGTCCCACCCAACAGTGATCACTGCTGAGGTGAGGTACTTGGGTGGCAGCTGAGCCAGGGTCTTCTGTCTTTAGTCATACTGTCTTGGTGATTTGATTCCTGCCTGGGTCTCCCTTGGGGCTTAAGGTGTTTATTTAGAACTTAGTGGTTATGAGCATGGACTGTGGAATCTCACTGCCTGGGACAAGTCTGCACCCTTCATCTAACTAGTTACAGAACTTTGATGAAGTCACTTACTTCAGGCCCATGAGGAAGTATATGGAGCGCTTCCTTGCAGTTCTTCCTCTCTCCTTTCTTCTGAGTAGCCAAGGCCTGTGCCGTGGCCCCCAGCGCTAGTTTCAGGGTCAGTGAAAATGTGGCCTTGCTGTTACTGTGGGCATTGAATCCACTGGTGTCCTAGGCACCAAGTGGGTTTCCCATCTCAGCCATCACTAGCACAGGCCCATCCTCTTGACTTTACTGAGTGCTCGTACTTGCTAAGTGAGGAAGTGGCTTCCTTTGCAGCCATGCTGGGGCATTTTCAGCACTACAACATTTATGTGCCAGGCCTCCTATCTGTCTAGGACACCTGTGAGGTACAGGAGAGCCATAATAGTGCCTAGGAGAGTACACTAAGCTTGAGCCCTGGCAGCCGTGGTAGATGTCAGGTGGCCCTTAGGTTCCTGAGTCCTATATGGGCCCAGTGGCCCATGGTTCCAAAAACAGTCCTGCAACTCTGGCCTTAGAGGGCCTTGGGCTGGGGAGATGGCTTAGTTGGTAAAGCCTTTGTTGCACCAGTATGAGGACTTGAGTTTGATCTCCAACATCTACTTTGCAAAGTCAGCAGGGTTTGGTGGTTGGCGCAGGCCTTAATTCCAGCACTCAGGAAGTACAGGCAGAGGCAGGTAGATCTCTTTGAGTTCAAGGCCAGCCTGGTCTACAGTTGGGGCTACAGGGAAATGGTCCCAAAAAGGAAGAAAAAAAAGATGGCACCTGGTTGTAATCCCAGTGCTAGGGAGCTAGGCAGGTGGTTTCCTGGGCTTGCTGGCCAGCCAGCCTAGCCACATGGGAGAGCTCCAGGTTAAGTGAGAGACCCTGCCTCAGAGTATGTGGTGGAGGGTCAGAAAAGCGGCTCAGGGGATAAAGGCACCCGTCTCACAAATCTGGTGACATTGAGTTTCATCCCTGGAACCTACATAAAGGAGAGAATCACAGCAATCTACATGTATGCCTACAAATATCATGCCTATACATACACTAATAATAAAAATACTTTGTCTTTTCGAGATAGGGTCTCCCTGTAGCCCCAGCTGTCCTAGAACTCACTATGTAGATCAGGCTGGCCTTGAACTCACAGAGATCCGCCTGCCTCTGCCTCCCGAGTGCTGGGATTAAAGGCGTGCGCCACCATACCCAGCTAAAAATACTTTGTTAAAAAAGAGGGGCCTGGGTGGATAGGTGTGGTGGTTGGTGCTAACTGGCAAACTGGCCTCATCCATTTCAGATTGTCACAGCCCTGGCCATTGCAGGAACTCTTAAGTTCAACCCAGAAACTGACTTCCTGACAGGCAAGGATGGCAAGAAGTTCAAACTGGAGGCTCCAGATGCAGACGAGCTTCCGCAATTGGTGAGCAGATGCTGCCACTTTGTGGGTCAGTCACCATAGACCTGCCTTGGCCTAGCTGCATGGGACAAGGGCCTGACCTCTTGTGTGGGGTGGAATGACAGTGTTATCTGAGAATGAATAAGGTTTGGAGTACAGGGAAGCTTGCCATCTCTGAGACATCCATGTGGGATTGAGAATTCAGTGCCCAGCATGTCTCCATCCTCTTTTGCAGGACTTTGACCCAGGGCAGGACACCTACCAGCATCCCCCCAAAGACAGCAGTGGGCAGCGGGTGGACGTGAGCCCTACCAGCCAGCGCCTACAGCTCCTGGAGCCTTTTGATAAGTGGGATGGCAAAGACCTGGAGGACTTGCAAATCTTAATTAAGGTTGGTGCAGGCACCCTGTCCCTGCATGAGTCAGGGCTGGGGACCTACAGGAAGGGAAGCTGGCCACAAGGAGGGAGGGATCACAGCAGCCTGGGGCTCTCCTCTGTGGGCCCAGATCAGGCAGAGCTGGATTTAGCCAGCTGCTGTCAGGACATCTGGTATGTATGGACTGGTAAATGTATCATTTGTGACTCAGCACAACTCTGGCTTGGTAAGTAGACTCCCAAAACCACAGATTCCTGTTGTTAGCACTACTGGATTAGGCCTGTTTGGGAGCTGAGCCTTTACAGTGTGGTCAAGAGCTTCAGACTCATGCCAGACATTAATTTATGGGTTTACTAAGGGATGTCCAGGCACACCTATGACATAGTCATTATTCAGCTCATGTGACACAAGACTGGACAGGATTCCAGGCTTCTGTGTGTCTGGCATGGAGTTGGCTGATCGTCCACTCTGGGCAGCTGAGTTGAATGAGCCAGCAGATACATCTGTCCTGCCTAGCGTGTCGTCCTTTGAGTAGCCTGTGCAACAAGGGAATAACCTGTCATGGAGGCTAAGCAGCCCGAGGCTGTAGGGTGGGCAGGGATGGTGGTCATGACTTTGCTGTGACAGTGGAGCAGACATACCAGGACTCACCATGTCCAAGGCCTGACACACTTCCTCTGTCACCCTCCTTGTTCCGGTCACTGCCTCTGCAGAACTTCCCTTGTCTGCCACTCACTAGCTCACCCTGGCCTCTCTCCTCACCCACCCAAGGTCAAAGGGAAGTGCACCACTGACCACATCTCTGCAGCTGGCCCCTGGCTCAAGTTCCGTGGACACCTGGACAACATCTCCAACAACCTGCTCATCGGTGCCATCAACACTGAAAATGGCAAAGCCAATTCTGTGCGCAATGTTGTCACCCAGGAGTTTGGCCCTGTCCCTGACACTGCCCGCTACTATAAGGTAGGCCACATCGGTGGAAACAGTGCTGGCAGCCACTCTGCCGAGGGCCTGGAGTGGGGCTGGAGAATGGAAACAGGAGCCATCCCAGCTCACTGGGTGAGGCCAGGTCCTGGAACCCAAGAGACCCTGCCCATAAGTCAGTGGAGTTTCAATGGGCTTTTGGCCCAGACCTACAAAGGGTGGAGGAAGCCTTGGAGGAGAGAAGGCATGCTGCTTCAGGAATTCAGTGGGGATTAGGCTCAGAGGAGCCACATGAGAAAGCAGTGAGGGGCCAAGGCTAAGGGGGCAGAAGGGCTGCAAGAGCCAGGGTCCCACTTGTTGAAAGGTTCTAGGACTTTCTACTTTGAGAAACCAAATCTGATCTGGAGTCCTAGTAAGGGTCATCTGGCACCCGTTAATGGCTGCATGGGGTAGTACAGATGCCCCAGGGGCAGTGCAAAACTGAATGGTCCCTCAGTGTTGTGGAGGCAACTACTGCTTTGCTTCCACTGGGGCCTCTGTCCACTCTGCCCACACCCTTCAGGCCTAATCTGGGCCAGATCATCCCCGCTAAGCAGTTCTTGGGCAGCATTAAGAAACAGCCTCTTCCAGCCCGTAACCCAGGGCCTCAGCATGCCCAGGACCAGGCAGGTGCACATAGTGCCCTGCTCTGCCTCATCATTTCCCCTGCTTGCCTGACAGAAACATGGAATCAGGTGGGTAGTGATTGGAGATGAGAACTATGGTGAGGGCTCAAGTCGGGAACATGCAGCACTGGAGCCTCGCCACCTTGGGGGCCGGGCCATCATCACCAAGAGCTTCGCCAGGATCCATGGTGAGCTATAGCCCATGCCCATCCATGTCTGCTGCCCTCCCTGTCCTAGGTCACCCACTCCAACAATGGCCAACTTGGGCCTTGAGGCCCATGCCTAGCTCCCAGACTATGTCCATGCTCCTGTGTTCTACCACAGCCTACGCTCATCCACCCAAATCCATGTTGGTATTGCCCAAAGCTTCCCACTAACACTGGTCTTGCCTCCAAACTTGTACATCTGAGAAGCTAAAATCCAAAGTATGTGGCATGTCTTATGTCTGCACTAATGTACACCTGTGTGGGGTTACTGTTGGGGAAAAAGTCCACTAGGATCCAGGAGACCTGGCTAGACCTTGTAGTCACTGCCTGTCTGTCCTCAACATTAAGACCAGGGGTCTGTCTCAGGGCTCCAACTGGCTTTAAAGAAGTAGGGTCCCTGGCCAGTAGAACCACTCTGATGACTGCATGTTCCTGTCTTTCAGAAACCAACCTCAAGAAGCAGGGCCTGCTGCCCCTCACCTTCGCTGACCCTTCAGACTACAACAAGATCCACCCAGTGGACAAGCTCACCATTCAAGGCCTGAAGGACTCTGCCCTTGGTAAGCCCCAGAAATGTGTCATCAGGCACCCCAACAGGACCATCCTCCTGAACCATGCCTTCAATGAGACTCAGATTGAGGGGTTCCACACAGGCAGTGCCCTGAACAGGATGAAGGAACTGCAGCAGTAAGGAAGGGCCAGGCTCCGGTCCCACTCTGGACCCTGCTGAGTGTCACAAGTGCAGTTCCATGTACGTTGTCAGGCTGGATCAGGTCTTCCCAGCTCCAAGACGGTGTGACCAGACTTGCTTCCTGCTCTCCCATCCTCAGCCCACTGAGTGAGCCACTGTGGAGGGGCTTCAGATAATGCCCAGCCCCCCGCCTTCCCTTTTAGTTTGGTTCATTCTTGAGCAGCCCATGCAACTGTATTTATTTTTGATGACAGCACTCCCCTTCTAAAGACGTTTCTATTCTGCCTAATCATTTCACTGGTGGCTGAAGGATTTTAGAGAAACTTTTGTTCTTATTATAAGAAAAAAACAAATCTAAATTCATTGACTGTTCCTCTGTGTGAGTGACTGGTAACTAATTACTATCAGTTAGAGTTCAGGGAGGGGCTTCTAAACCATGGTCACATCTGGACTCCAGTCACTGCAGCAAGGATGGGAACACAAGCAGAAGGGCTGCTCCACCCGCCATCCCCACCCCTGCGCCCTAATCCCACTGGCTGGGCATGTTCCTGTGCTAGGATAGAGCTCCAAAAGAGCAAGAGCCTGCGCTTTCCTCTCCTGTGCCCCTGAACTGCTGTAGTAGACACAGTCTCTGACCACTGCACCCATCTTGTAGATAAGGACACCCTGGAAAGTGAATGTGCCCCAAGTCACAGCTAGCATATGCTGTAAGTATCTTGATGCCAGTGGGAGAAAGGACAGGAGGACTTGGTAGAACATTCTGCTAAGTGACTGGCCCAGACCTGGGCATCACCAGTAGCCCCATGGGGGTTTATGGTCACAGCTAGGCAGGCAGCAAACCCCAAGCCTTCTATACTACAGGCCTGGGACAGCAAAGCCTACAGCCTTCATTTTCAGGAGTTCCCTCCTCCAAGTGCTGGGGGAAGTTGCTGCTGCTTAGTGCTCTGACACCAACAACCAACAGCATCAGCCCAAAGTATTTCCCCAGGGTGGCCTCCCTACCTGTACTGTGGCATCATCATTCTCAGCCGGAAGCACCCTGGGCACACAAACCCCAAGACCCACCATTTTGGAGTTTGGGAACAGTCATCTTTAAATGTAACTTGGGGTGAGACAGGACATGCTGTCTCAGGTTGGCAACTCAGTGACCTTAAGCCATGATGCTGGCTGTGGACATGAGGGGGCGGGGCTTTCCTGCAGAAGTTGCTGTCATTTATTGTCTCTGCTGTAAAGGGGGGACTGTGGGCTAGCTCAGTAGTAGAGCACTTGCCTAACATGAAAAAGGCCCTAGGTTCCATCCTTAGCACTGAAGGGTAACAAAACCAAAACAATACAAAGTATCAATCTTGGGCTGCGTGTGGTAGCGCACACCTTTAATCCCAGCACTCTGAAGCAGAGGCAGGTGGATCTCTGAGTTCAAGTCCAGTCTGGTCTACATAGTGAGTTCTAGGCCAGCTGGGGCTACAGGGAGACCCTGTCTCAAAAAGACCCCACCTGGCTGGAGAGATGGCTCAGCAGTTAAGAACTGATTGTTCTTGCAGAAGACCTGGGTTCGAATCTCGGCACCCACATAGCAGCTAACAACTGTCTGTAACTCCAGTCCCAGGGGATCTGACAGCCTCTTCTGACCTCCTCGGGCATTGCATGACATGGATGCACTTACCTACATGCAGGCAATACACGTATACACATAAAATAATTAAAAAAAATTTTTTTTTGTCTTCTTGAGACAAGGTCTCCTTGTAGCCCCAGCTGTCCTAGAACTCACTATGTAGACCAGGATGGCCTCGAACTCACAAAGATCCACCTGCCTCTGCCTCCTGAGTGCTGGGATTTAAAGGTGTGCGCCACCACACCCGGCATAAATAATTTTTTTTTTTAAATTTAAAAAACAAAAAGGCCCCCAACCCCCTCAAAAAAACAAAAAATCAGTCCTTCAGCTGGGGAAGTAGATCAGTCGGTAGAGTGCGTGCCTTGCATGCATGAAGCCCTGGGTTCCACCTCCCAGCACCACATAAACTGGATATGGTGGTACATGCCTATCTGTAATCCCAGCACTCAGGAGGTAGAGGCAGTTGGGGCTTCCTGGCCCCTCCCAGCACTTGCAGAGCTACTGTCTTCACTGCTGCCTGCCCCACTTGCCCAGGGGAGCAGGGTCTTCTGGGTAGGCAGTCACTGTCAAGCTCCAGGGCTAGTTGCTGGTCCACCAAGAGAGAAGGCCCAGGCCCGGCTCACTGATAGATCCCTGCCAAGGATAGGTGCCCTCCTAAGCCAACTGCAAGTGTCCATGAGGCCCAGCCCCAAACACACCAGAGAACAGCCCAAGAGCCAGCCTTCCCCAGAGCCCCACTGTGGTCTTAAGTTTGATCTTTCTCTAGCTCCTCTGGCTTGTTTCTTCCTTAAAAGACCCTTGTGACCTTATAATCCAGTCTGAGCTCTGTCCCTGTCAGACACGGGACAAACTCCCACCTAACCTTCCCAACATCCATAGCTTTGTCACCTCATGGCCCCAGCCTGCAAAAGCAGGCTCTCTAGGAAGAGGTAAAAGGCCCTTCTCTAGGGAGAAGAGACCGGGACCCTGACCTGCTAGGGTGGGGGTCTAGGAGTAGAACCTCAAGAAAACAGCTGCCCTCTGGGATCTCCTGCATCCGGCCACACCACCAGCTTACCACAAGCGTGTATGGTGCTTCCTTCTTTGGCAGTTCCTCACTGGAAGAAGTGGCCTCGGCTGAGCTGGGCCCCGTGGGGGACGTGTCCACAAAGCTCTCATCCACCACTCTGAAGCGGATCTCCTCGCCTGTGTCCATGTACAGGTCATGCGCTCCCTCCTCTGTCTCATACTCCCATACCCAGACCTGTTCTGTTTCATCACTGGAGACCAGGGTCAAGGCCACAATGAAACCACAGGCAGCATGGGGCTGAGGAGTCCTCTGAAGTCCTTACCCAAGTTAAAACCAAGCCAGGGCTGGGGAGTCACAGGAAAAGCAGAGGCTCTGGGAGAAGCTGGTTTGTTCCAGGACCCAGGGTGAGAACCCCAGGGCACCATGGCCAGTCCCACCTCTGGAGAGTAGAGTGACAGGGCTGTCCCATACTTCTCATCCAAGCCACATAACTAATACAGCAGGTGGGTAGCTCAAGGGGCTTGCCTGGGTCTCGTGAAGATGAGAGGTCAGGAGGTCACCAGCCTGAGGACCAAGGCTGGGCCAGATCTGCCTAGATCTTCCATGAGTCCTGTAGACCCTTCCCCTGTAATAGGCCTGGGTGGAGGAACAGCCAACCAACCAGAGCAGCCCCTCTCCCCAACCATCCCCAGCCCACCCCAGAGCCCACCCCAGGAGCCATCCTGCCCCCAGCCCTGCCTCCTCCATGTCAGGCATGCTACTGCTAATGCTGGCAGCTGTTCACCACGCCACCCGAGTTTCTCCTGAGGCTAGTGACAGTTCCACTGAAACAGATAGCCCTAGTGCAGTGCTAGAGCCAGGATGGGGACAATGGGCTCGGGAGAGACAAACCCTACCCAGCCCAGGTCCAGCATTCTGCTTCCACACTCTGGGAAGTGGGGAGGCAGCTAGCCAGGGTGAAGCTCCAGGGGGAAGGATCTGTGAAAGCATTCCTTCAGGGACAACCTCAGAGAAGTGCCCGAGAGTGACTGGTGGCCCAGCGGTGTACAGTACTTAATTGCATCACCCAGACACCGGGCATGGTCAGTTTGGGAAGCAGAGGTGCTGCCACAGGGACAGGCACAGGGGCCAGCAGTGTCTGGTCACAGCCACAGGGCCACCTCGGGAATGGGGGCCTCCACTGTGCCTCACAAACACCTTGGAAGGATACAACTTGGCAGGCTGCTGCAGTGACTCAGGGGGAATGAGAATGTCATCGAAGAACCCTAGAGAGACTGAGAAGGAAGGAAAGAAAGAGGAAGGGAGGAAGGGAGGGAGGGAGGGAGGGAGGGAGGAAGGAAGGGAGGGAGGAAGGAAGGGAGGAAGGGAGGAAGGCATGGGATGGGCGCCCCACAGGCAGCCCAATAGGCAGCTGGCTGCTCGGCAGGCAAACCCCTTCCGCAGGGCGGCCCAGTGGCCCCATGGCAGTCTGGCCCTTCCCACCTCAGAGCCCTACAGTGCTGCCAATACCACCCACGTGGGCTGAGCAGTCTGGCAAAGCTCCAAGTACTTAGTCCCCAGACCTGAGCAGTCACTGCACACACAGGGACCAGTGGGCTATGTGGAATCCTATCACTTCTACCAGTTTCAGTACCCACCCTCAGATCCTGAGCTGTGGCCTCCCAGTAAAACCTGGCAGCTGACTGAGGTCCTCACCCCATATAGGAGAACACAGGGGACTGGCATTTCCCTCACTTGGCCTTGCGGCCAGGCAGCTTCTCCAACACCAGGGAAGATTCAGCTGGACACCTGGGCCACATGGGCAGCACGTGCTGCCCACCCCATCATGTTCTAGTCTCCCCTGAGGAGTCAGGGCCATCTTACCGTGCACGCCCTCTGGGCTGCAGCCTTTGATTTTCCCAATGAGAATCTCATCCAGGAACGGGTGGAACACCACGTATCGGAAGTGTACTGCAAGAGAAGGGTGCCCATCGGACAGGCAGGCCTTCCAGGCCCACCCAAGCTCGCCAGCATCCACCTACCCAGGGCTCTGTGCTGAGTCCTGCAGGCCCAGACCTGAGGAACCCTCCCTCACCCCTGCAAGGTCACCCCTGGAAGGGACCAGCAGCAGCTGCCCTAGAACTGAGGGCTGGCTTCCAAACCCATCTCCATCACATCTGATCCTTGGTTCTGGGCCTGCGGTGCCTCCAAAGTCAATTCCAACCTCCCTCCAGGCTCTCCTCCCAATTCAAGAAGGACAGAAGCTACTGGCAATTGGGGTCAGACAGGAAAGAAGTTCCTGTCTGCTGCTGGGCCAAGTTTGCCCTGGGCACAACTCTGACCTGGAATGGGATGGCGAAAATGCTGAAACTGTGTGGGTGACGTGGGGAAAGAGCCTCCCTGGGTTCTCAGGCCCTGCCTTGTGTGCTCTCCACTCACCTGACCCCCAGAAGGCCAGCTAAGATGCGTGCCACATCAGAATGACTTCTGGCCCTAGCAGAAGCCATGCACGTCATCTGACCACTCTCACCCCTCACTCCTGCCATGCATTCACCCACTCCCTGTATGATCCTCCTGAGCCAGAGGCCATGTCTCCACCAGGCAGAGGAAGAAGCCACTGAGAGGCTGGGTGACCTGTGTGCTCCAGCCACATGGCCCTCTGCCATCAGACAGGGCCATCAAGCCCAACCCCACCTTCTTCAGAGGCAGGCTTCCAGTAGGGCCCCTTCAGCAGCCTAATCTGCCAGCACCCCTCTTAGCACAGCAGTGCCTACCAAGCCTGTGCCTCCTGCTTCCCTATGCTCCACCTCCTGTGAGGCAACGAACATCTTGAAGATGACTAAGCCTCCTGCTACCTTTCCAGAACCGGGTCAAGAGCAGCGGATGGAAAGCTCTGTCCTTCACACAGCCCCTCATTCATTTCAGAGCCTCTATCAGGTTTGTGCCAGGCCCGAGGACAGGTCAGCATATAATCCAACACCAAAGGAGCTGTCTAAACACCACTTCTGAAAGCAGTGGGCAGCCATGGACTAATGAATGGAGAAACAAAACATGTAGGTGCACAGAACATTAGTCAGCCTGGAAAAGGAAGGGCAGAGATGTGGCATGGTGGGAGAATGCCTGTCTAAGCAGCCTGCATGAGGCCCTGGTTTCCATTCCCACCTCCCTCCCAAAAAAGACAAGAATTTCTTCTTAGTTATAGGCTTAGGCAAAATTTGTTCCAGGATAAGTGCTCCATGGCACTAGGAATGTGCTAGTGTCTATGAAAAGGGAAAGTTCCCCACAATTCCACTCAATGAGATACACTAAAGTGGTCAGATTCTCAGAGTCAGAAAGTAGAAGAAAGGGTACAAGAGGCTGGGTGTGGGGAGTACTGTGTTTGTTTTTAATGTGGCACTGGGGATGGAATGTGGGGTCTCACACATGCTACACAGTGCCCTAGCCTGCCCTGCACCCTAGCCCAGGAATGCTTTATTCCGGGAGGCTGAGAAAGTCATGCCGATGGACAGCTGCACAACCCTGTAAGTAGACTGAATGCCACTGAATTACAGGCTCAAAGTGGTTAGACTGGGGCAGAGCTGGCTGAGCACTTAAGCTCACTGGCTGCTCCTGCAGAAATTCTGGGCTTAGTTCCCAGCACCCACAAGGCTGCTAACAACTGTCAGTAACTCTGGTTCTAGGGGATCTGACGCCCTCTACTGGCCTCTGTGGGCATTGCATGCATGTGGTGCACCTACATATATGCAGACAAAACACATACACATGAAAAATGAAATCAAAGCCAGGCGTGGTGGCGCACGCCTGTATTCCCAGCACTTGGGAGGCAGAGGCAGGTGGATCTCTGTGAGTTCAAGGCCAGCCTGGTCTACACAGTGAGTTCCAGGACAGCTGAGGCTACAGGAAAACCCTGTTTCAAAAAGACAAAAAAAAAAAAAAGACTTTTTAAGGGATGGAAAGATGAGATGGCTCAGCAGTTAAGAGCACTGGCTGCTCTGGCAGAGGACCCAGGTTCAGTTCCTACATCCACATGGCAGCAACTCCAGTTCCAGGGGATCCAACACCCTCTTCTGACATCTGTGGTACCGTATGACACAGATGCACTTATATACAAACAGGCAATACACTCATACACACAAAATAAAAATAATAAAACAATTTTATTTTGGTCTTTTTGATACAGGGTCTCCCTGTAGCCCAAGCTGTCCTGTAACTCACCAGGCTGGCCTTGAACTCACAGAGATCCACCTGCCTCTGCCTCCCAAGTGCTGGGACTACAGGCGTGTTCCACCACACCCAGCAAAAATGAGAGAACATTGGCCAGGCATGGTGGCCAGGAATAAAGCTGGCCAGCAGGGCTGGGGGTATCCCATGAGTGCCTCTCAGGAGACCACACAAAGACTGCTCGTGTGCACTCCCAAAACTTAATGAGGTTGACACACCATGGGTATTTTTATTACACTGCTCAGACAGGGAAACTGGGTCTGAGCAGCCTGCCCTGGGTCTCTTGGAGGGAGCCAGCTGGTAAAGAATGTACCACTCAAAGCAAAGGAGCCCCGCATAGCCTGGTGCTCTAAGCCCCACTCAGCACCTGCCCCAGCGCAGCCCTGAGGCTGTGGTCAAAGCAGCACAGTGACGGACTTCTGCCACAAAGGGAGACTTAATGCTGCGTGGTACAGGGTGCTTAAGCGAGTGCTCAGTACCTCACACATCACCCCAAAAGAAACAGAGGCCAGGATGTGCAGGGTGAGGGGGACAATGAAAACCAATACTGAAGACCTCACGTGACGTGCCAAACGCCAACAGAATGGGCAGCACTTCCTTAACGCCAACTTGCTTCCTAAGTTCAGGTGCCGATTGCCACTTGTCTCCCAGACAACCAGGCTCTCATCCAACAGCTGATCCGGCTTTCTCTGAGAACAGAGGTCCTGCCCTTGTCTAAGCTTGGCACTCTTCTCTGAGAACAGAGAAGTTGTTTCCACGCTCTAGGCTTCTTTTTCTGCTCATGAAAACGCCCCTAGTTCACACAAGGAGCCTGTTTCCTTGGGGCTTTCTGCAGAGCACAACACCCATGTGAACTAGTTAAGTCTCCAGATGCCAGCACAGACCCCAGGCAGTCTCATAGCATGCTGCAGGATGTTCACTCAGACATCCCCAGGCCAAGAGGCTGACCAGCATGGACAAGGATGGGGCTCCCCACAGTGCCTCTGTCCCCATTCCTAGGTTCAGCTGCAAGCCTGGTGCAGGCTGCGGAGGCAAGCTGCACCCCTGTTCTCTGCCAGCTCCTCTGAGCCATCTTGAAGGCCCTCTCCATATCTGCCTCTGACGGCTCAATGCGGCCACACTGTACACCCTCTGGAAGGGTACTAGACTGACCTATCAAAAGGGGCCCCTGCTACCCCCCTTCCATCCCCCTAAGTTCTGCCTACACCTCCTCACCTTGCCCCATGTCCTTTCCAATGTGACTGCACTTTCCACACCACAGGGTGGAATCTGTTTCTCCATCCCTTGGTCTTGACCAGGAAACATCTTTTGGTCAGTGGCATCTATGCAGGAGACATGTGCACTAAGCTTCAGACCTCTGAACCATCAAGCCTGGATGCCCCAGTCCTGGCCAAGTTTTCCCAGAACACCACACAAGAGACCCGCAGAATCAACAGACACAATCCATGTGAACAAGTGCTCATTCGGTGCCAAGGTCCCATCCTGAAAGCTTTACTCATGTTAACTCCCTAATCCTCATAGCAGTCCTGTAGTGTAGATGCTACCATCATTGTGAGATAGCCCAGGCTAGCCTTGAACTCCTGATTCTCCTACCTCTAACTCCCAAGTGCTGAGATTACAGGGTATGTGTGTGTGTGTGTGTATGATGTGCGTATGAATGTGGGTACAGGCATTACCATGGTGCACATGTGGAGATCGTCGTCAGTTCTCTCCTTCCACCATTATGTGAGTTCCAGAGATCAAATTCTGGTTGTTAGGTTTGCATGGCAAGTTCCTTTACCAGCCGGGCCATCTTACCAGTCCCACTTTTTTTGTGGTGACAGAGTCTCCCTGTAGTCCCAGCTGGCCTGGAACTCGCTATGGTGACGAGGCTGGCCTTGATCTTACAGAGATCTGCCTGCCTCTGCCTCCTGAGTACTGGGATTAAAGGCATGTACCACCATGCTGGGCTCAGCCCCACTTTATTATTTTTATTTTATGTGTATGAGTGTATTGCCTGCAGGTATGTGAGTGCACCCATGTCGTGCAGTGCTGAGGAGGTCACAAGAGGGCTTCAGATTCCCCTGGAACTGGAGTTAAGGACAGTTTGTAGCCACCCATGTGGGTGCTAGGAATCGAACAAACCCGGGTCCTCTGCAAGAGCAGTCAGTGCTCTTAACCGCTGAGCCATCTCTCCAGGCCCCTCAGCCCCACTTTTAACTGCCTTGTCCTCCTGCCTTTCCAGGTCCACTAGACCCAATGAGCCTGCTGTTCTCCTTCTGTTTGCCTCTAGTCCAGTAATAGTCACCCCTTGGGGTCTCCACCTATCTGGCCTTACCCCCATGAAGCAGTGAGCAACCTCTAGGCTGAGCAAGGATCACACTGGATGGAACCCAAGGGACCCACAATCTCAATCGTAAAGCTTGAGAGCCCTTCCGAGCCACTCTTCCTCCTCTGCTGTCTTACAGACGAGGAAACTGCGGACCAGAGAGGACAAGAACCCTCACTGTTCGCAGTCAATTCCTGGCAGAAACAAGACGGGGGCCCAGGTCTCCCAACCCCCAGACCAGGACTCCTGCCACCTGGGCAGCCTTGCGGCCTGACTTCCTGCTACAGAAGGACCTGCTGCCCTAAGAAACATGATACCCAGGAAGAGAAGATACCCACCTTTGGTGTGTGATGCGCCGTCCCCTGGGAACACATAGGCATCTTCCAGCTTGGTGATATCGAACAAACAGATGCAGAGTCCCACGTTGTACACGACCTGTGCACACATGTATATAAAGACACATGCACTGTACTGAGGCCCAGCTCTTCCAAGACCCTCACAATCACAAGCAAGCATCTTTCCTGGATGGACATGAGCTAGGGCTCTGCAGGGGACTGTGGCAGGGACCTCAGGATGAGGAACATTAGAAAGAGCAGGGCCTAAGCAACAAGCCAGCTTCCAATGCCAGCACCACCTCACTGTAGGGCCAAAGGCATCACTTTGTCTCTCTGAACCTCAGTTTCCCATCTGTAAAAATGAGACGACACCGCCAAAAAAAAAAAAAAAAAAGCAGGGCGTGGAGGCACAGGCCTGTAGTCCCAGCACTTGGGAGGCAGAGACAGGCGGATCTCTGTGAGTTCAAGGCCAGCCTGGTCTACATAGTGAGTTCCAGGCCAGCTGGGGCTACAAAGAGACCCTGCCTCAAAAAAAACGAAAAGAAAAAGCGGGGGGGGGGGGGGACGACGGACAAACACTTGCCTCGTCAGGACCTGTACCCACAGGGACTGTCTTTCCCTTTCTGAATTTTCTCTCTTCAAAATGTTCAGCTTTTAGCCCTTCTAGGCACTGCATCACCAACCTCATAAAACAACCAGAAACCACCCACCAAGAAGGCAGTGAGGGGCCTGTGAAATGGCTCCGCAGATAAGGGCACACGCTACGCTATAAAACCTGACAACCTGAGCACACATGGCTGGAAAGTGAGAAAACTGACTCCTGCAAGTTGTACTCTGACCTCCACATGGGTGCCATGATACACAAGTGCACACAAGGACAAGGAGGGAGGGAGGGA